CAATGGGAGGTGATGTGTTGTTAGTTGAACCTGTAGATGCTGTTGTAGTGGGAGTTGTTGAGTTTGTAATGTGTGATATTGTGGTTGTAATTGAATCTGTAGATGTTGTTGTAGAGAGAGTTGTTGAGGTTGTAATGGGAGATGCTGTGGTTGTAGTTAATCCTTTAGATGTTGTAGCAGTGGGAGTTGTTGAGGTTGTAATGGGATTTGATGTGGTGTTACTTGAACCTGTAGATGTTGTTGTAGTTGGGGTTGTTGAGGTTGTAATGGTAGGTGTTGTGGGTGTAGTTGAACTTGTAGATATTGTTGTAGTTGCAGTTGTTGAGATCGTATTTGGAGGTGTTTTTGTTGTAGTTGAGCAGGTAGTTGTTATTGCAGTGGGAGTTGTTGAGGTTGTAATGGGATCTGATGTGGTGTTACTTGAATCTGTAGATGCTGTTGTAGTTGCAGTTGTTGAGGTTGTAATGGGATCTGATGTGGTTGTAGTTGAAGCTGTAGATGTTGTAGTTGGGGTTGTTGAGGTTGTAATGTATGATATTGTGGTTTTAGTTGAACCTATAGATGTTGTTCTAGTGGCAGTTGTTGAGGTTGTAATGGGATCTGATGTGGTGTTAGTTGAACTTGTAGATGTTGTTGTAGTAGGAGTTGATGAGGTTGTAATGGGAGGGGGTGTGGTTGTATTTGAACCTGTAAATGTTGTCATAGAGGTTGTAATGGGAGGTGTTGTTGTTTTAGTTGAAGCTGTAGATGTTGTTGCAGTGGGGGTTGTTGAGGTTGTAATGGGAGGTGTTGTACTTGTAGGTGTAGGTTTGGCTACAGTTGTGGGAGGTTCTGTAGTAGCAAGTGTAGTTGCTGCTGCATTAGTGTTAGTTGATGTGGTAGTAGGTTTAGACGTTGCTGCAGTAGCCGTATGTGCTGTAGTAGTGGTTGCAGTAGTGGGAGGTGCTGTAGTAGGTGTAATTTCAGCTGCAGTAGTGGGAGGTGCTGTAGTAGTAGATGTAGTTGTAGCTGTAGCTTTAACATCGGTAGGTACTGTAGTACTAGGTGTAGTAGCGGCTGCAGTAGTGGGAGATGGTGTAGTAGTAGGTTTAAATATAGTAGTGGGAGGTGTTCTAGTAGGAGGTATAATTGCAGATACAGTAGTGTGAGGTGCTGTAGTAGCAGGTGTAGATGTGGCTGCGATAGTTGGAGGTGTTGTCGTAGTACGTGTAGTTCTGGCTACAGTAGTATTTTGTTTTGTAGAAGGCATAGATGTATCTGAACAAGCTGTAGTGGGAGGTGCTGTGATTGGAGTGGAAACTGTTGCTGTAGTTTTAGTGGGAGTTGTTGAGGTAAGGCTAATGAGAGGAGATGTGGTTATAATGGAGACCATAATTTTACTTTCATTGTTAAATATTGATGTTTTAATCAGAGGCTTTGGGGTCATAGTGGAACCTTCAGTTCTTTTTGTAGTGGGGATTGTTGAGGTTGTAAAGGGAGGTGTTGTGGTTGTTTTAGAATATGCTATATCTAGTGCTGCAGTTGTAGTTGTAACTGAATTTGTAGTTGTATTGTGAGTTTCTGAGGTGTTAATGGGAAATGTTGTACCTTCTGAGAGAGTGATGTTTGATGCTGCAGATTTGGTTATAGTGGGAGGTTTTGAGGTTGTAGTGGAAAAACGAATGGATTGTGTTGTTGTTGTTGTTGTTGACAGAATGGTAAAGGTTGTTTCCCTGGGTGTTGTAGTTGTATTGTTTGGTGTTGCTTCTCCTGCACTGAGAGGGGCTGTGGCTGTAGGGGAACCTGTAGTTCTATGTTGCATTAGTGAGGTTGAAATGGGTACAGCTGAGGTTGTGATCACAGGTTTAATTGTTGTTGCAGTAGGAGCTCCAGGGGGATCTTCCCTCATTCTGATTGTTGCATCTGTTGTGGAAAGAGTTTTCTGTGTTAATTTATTTGTGAATTACAAATTGATATTAAAATTATTAACAACTGGTGTGTCTCTTTCAGTAAGAAACATGAAAAATGGAAAATTCTCCTCAAGCACTTACTCCCAGACTGAATACTTGTTACATCCACTGAAAGCTCCCCAAGATATCCTGTGGAGTTCAGCCCATCTTGAAAGACTTGCACTATGTCCTCATTACTGGGGAAACTGTTGTCACTTTGAAGCTTCAGTGTAGACTCAACAATGACCGATCCCCTCCTACAAGGTGAACAATGTGGAAATAAGTTTGTTGACACATCTATACAGAAAGGGGAAATTCCTGTCTTTTCAGGATGCTTTGATCACTAAGGGGTCCTAAGTCAGATGATCCAGGAGGTGAGGTCCAATAGAGGAGACCTGACAGTTGTCTGGCTGGACCTGGCTAATGCATATGAATCCACCCCACATAGTTTGATTTGGGTTGCTATGGAGTAATATCATATCCCACACCACATCAAGGGGGTGATCACCAGCTACTATGGAGGAATCAAGGTACTACACTTGTACTATTTCCCCTATCTTGTTCATCATGGGAATGACCCTCATAATAATAACAGCAGAACAAGCAGTCATGTACCCACCGACCATCTTTTAGGGGGTTCATCGATGATCTTACAGTAATAACTACATCCTTTGTGTCCTTTGTGCAGGCAAGGTGGGTTTTGAAAGCACCAGAGGACATAGCAACCTGGATGAGAATGAAGTTCAAACCAAGGAAGTCAGGATATATGGTGATCAGGAAAGGTAGAGTGATTTCTGTAGGACCCACAGAAATATAAACTCCAGATCCAGGGTGAAGCCATTCCATCAATAAGTGAATGCATCGACAAGGCATTATCGGACAGGGAAAATATCAGCATCACAGAATTGCAGGTAGGCGATTGGCTGAGGAAGATTGATGGATCAGGACTCCCAGGGAAATTCAGTGCATGGCTTTATCAACATGGGGTATTGCTTAGAGTCCTGTGGCTGTGAACAGTATAGGAGGTACCCATGACAATGGTGGAAGGAGTGGAGAGAAAGATCGACAAGCACCTCCGAATGTGGCTGGGAATCCCATCCAGCTTCACGTCAGTGGGGTTTTACATGAGATCAGGACAGCTGCAACTTCCACTGTCTTGTGGAAGAGTTCAAGGTAGCAAAATGCAGGGTGGAGATGTTAGAAACTCCAGAGACAGCCTGGTTAGAGGGGCACAAATCATCACCAGATCAGGAAGGAAGTGGACTTGTGTGGTTTCTCTGACCCAGGTAAGTGCACTAAAGCTTCAGGACATCATTGCAAACCCGTGTAGTGACAGGCAAAGCCTAGGAACTACACACTTCCAGCAGTGGGAAAAAGCCAGCTTAAGAGAGAGGAGAGTTGTGGTACAGGAAGAAACAAGGAATCGGGAGGAGGGGAGCCGAAGGTCGAAAGCTGTGGAGTCGGAATTGCAGGGAGCATGGACAAAATGGAATCTTCCTGAAAGAAGATGAACTTGGACAGCATTGTGAAGATTGCAGCCCTTTCGCATCTCCTTCCTGCTGCGGGCCCTCTATGACACCCTCCCATCATCAAGTGGGGCAACACGGCACATATCCTTTGTGGGTGCAGAGTAACAGTTTCCCATGGGAGGTACAAGATGGCGCCATGACAAGGTCTTGATGACACTGGTAGACATCCTGGAGAAAGAGAGACAGAAGGAATGGCAAGCTCATGCTTGGACCTTTAAATACAGTTGTATTTGTCAGGGATGGTGAGACACTGACAAGCCAGGGAAAACCAAAGATTCTGTCTTCCATAAAGCTCCATGGTGGGACAAGAGAGTGGTCCTTGGAGGAAGACTGCAGTTTCTCAATATTGTACAAATCCCTAAGGCCAGATGTGGTAATGTGGTCCGCAGAGGCCAGGAAGATCCTCCTCGTCGAGCTGACTGTACCATGGGAGCAAGGATGTGAGGAGGCCTTTGAGAGGAAGGGTGCCAAACATGAAGATCTGGTACAAGACTGCAGAGGGTGGCAGACGTGAGTGTTCCCGGTGGAGGTTAGGTACAGAGGATTCCCTGCACTTTCTGTGTGGAGAATGCTGACAGCTGTTGGACTGACTGGGAGGGACAGAAAGACAGCAGTTCGAAGGTTGGGAGAGGCCTCACGCTGGCTCTGGAACAGCAGACAGGAGTGAAACTGGAGGCCAGGAGGAGATGAGCACTGACTAGCTATCGCTGCTGATCTGCCAGCTGTAGGGCATCATGGATAAAGGTCATAAGGCCTGATTAAATCTGGATTCCATCTGATGACATTGATTCCTGGCCAACAGCAATAGTCAATACAATTATGGACTAATTAAAACATCGGTAGATGTATACAAGATTATTATTATTATTATTAAAGTAGTTACAGGAGAATTCTAAATGAAAGTTAATGTTTTCATTTGTAATTAGAATAAACTCTTCTTGCTCTTGTTATGGGTATTTAAAATCCTGAAGCGTACAGTCTAAGAGAACACTCATTCAAGAAAGATGGAGAAGACGAGTCACAACTCTGAAGATGAACTCAGAGCCAGAGGTTTATGGAATAAATCCTGCAGAGGTGAGGCTTTTGCTGTTTCAGGATGTATAGTCTTTCAAAAGCTTCTGAAGGTCTGAAAGGTGCCTTTGTTTTTCTAACCAGTGTAATGATCTTATTCTGTGTGCTAGACAGTGATTGAAAGTATTTACTATGGGCAATCAGAAATAACCATTATGCTTGTGACTGCACTGAAAGAAGCACACACACAGATCACTGTACCTCAGCTGTATTATCGTGGCACTCTTGTAAGAATGAGGATACTTCTTTAAGAAAATCCAATTGATCTGGAAGAAACAAAACAAAAAAGAAACAAAAAGTGAGAAAGCAAGATGGAAACTTGCATTTTTAAACTCTTTGAAGCACATAGGAATTTACCTCTCTCTCTGCAGCTTGGGCAAGGGCTTTGAATTCAGTCGAGCTTTTATTGGAAAATCCATCCTTATAATCCAGGAAAATTCGAAACTGAAGAGGAATTACTTCTGTTGAGGTTTTAATAAGAGTTGTAGTCACTGGTGTAGATGTGGCTACAGTAGTGGGAAGTCCTGTAGTAGAAGGTGTAGTTGTAGGAACAATGATGCTCATAGTTGTAAGTACAGCAGTAACTGTAGTTGGAGGAACGATGGTGTTCACAGCAGTAGGTGTTGGAGAAACTTTGCTGCTCACAGTTGTGTGTGCTGCAGTAGTTCGAGGGACTGTGGTGATCTGAGTTGTAGAACCTGTTGTAGCTTTAGTTGAAGGAGCTGTGGTGCTTACAATTGTAGCTACTGCTGCAGTAGTTGCAGTTGGTGGAGCTCTGGTGCTCAGAGTTGTAGGTGCTAACACAGTAGTTGGTGGTGCTGTGG